CTCTGCTGTGTCAGGGATGTCTGTCTCCAAAGCTGCATTTCTTGTCATCTCCTTTTGAAATGCCACCTCTGTTTGATCTTCTTGGTGTCACTGTTGCCATGCCTTCCAGCTTAGGTCACAGTCATCCAGAACCATCTAGAACCTGGAAGTTTTCCCTTGACTGGATTTCCCTGGGTCCTATCTTCTATCTGTCCCTATGATTCATTTGGCACTCAGAGTGAGCTGCCTTGTAGAGCTGCCCAAGCCTGTGGATTTATGATTATACTTATGTGGCTTCTTGCCATTGCCCTAATTCCCCAACTAGTTTTTAACTTTTTGTATGTATCTGAATGCTCATGTTCACATGCTTCAGAATTCAAAAAGGAACAAACAACTTTTACGAACTGCAATAATAAATCTCCTCTTGGCAGCTACCATATCTAACATTACCTTTTCTTCTTCTGATATGGGCTCTTGCTATGTAACCTACTTCGGCCTTCAATTCACCATCCTCCTGCTTCCCTGAGGTACTGGGATTACAGGCATGTGCCAGCACACCGGATTTTTTGCAGCTCCTACTGCCTCTGTCTCCCAAGTGCTGAGATCAAATGTGTGCTCCATCACAAACCTGGCCCCATTGTTTCTTTTAAACCTCTTTTTATGGTTCTGGGGATGAGCTTTAAGGTCTTGGACATGCTAAGCAAATGCTTTTCCAGGAAGTTACACCCTTAGCCCTATTGTCTTCTTCTAGCCTCCTACATACATCTATCTAATAAGTGCATATACATTTACTCTACACTTTGTACCTAATTTTTCCACTTAGTAATCAGTGGAGAAGATGGTCTGTATTATGTTTAACAACACCTCATTTAACAATACCTCACTGTTTTTGGTGATAATATTCCATCCAATATTTAACAAGTTGGCCAGTAATGGATGATTCAGCTATTTCTGATCTTATGGAATTAAAGAAGAATACTTCAAACCATAAGTTTGTAGAATTGGCTTTGCTGCATCAAATGCTACACTTTTGTTTCTGTGTTTTGTTTTGTTTTTCCAGACAGGATTTCTCTATGTTGCTTTGGAGGTTGTCCTGGAACTCCCTCTGTAGACCAGGCTGGACTCCAACTCACAGAGATCTGCCTGCCTCTGCCTCCCAAGTGCTGGGATTAAAGGCATGTGCCACCAACGCCCAGCCAAACGCTACACTTTTAATTTTGTTGTGTCTTATATTACCACCTTTAGACAAATCCCACTTATCAGCTGGCTCTCCCACTACAAATGCTTGCCTATAGCTGTGCCCACAGACTTGACTTCAGTGTGTTAAACATTTTGGACATTGTCAATCATTCAAAAAGCAAAGTGTTTTCCTGCAGCTTTTGTTTATAACTCTTTCGTTGTAATGGGACTGAAAATCTTTTCATGAATTAGAAGCCAGAACTTCCTCTGTGATCTGTGACCTTTATCAATTTTAAAAATTACATTGGGTTCTATGCAAAGTAACTCACACCTGGAAAACAAACTCTTTGGAGATAGAGGGAGGAGGATCAGAGTTCAAGGCCTGGTTCAGTTACAGGCCAGCCCTGGCTATAAGAGACCCTGTCTCAACATTTCCCACCCAGGTTTTGGGACCTGGGAGAATGGAGCTGATAAATGATGCAGACTAAAATTTCATGCAATAGCCAACTCTTTGTTCAGAGAATCAGACAATTTATACTGAGGGGTAAGAGGAGTCACGTGAGTGAAGTGTACAATCACAAGCAGAACTTGGCAGAAACATGTTTTTCCCTGGGGGTATAGACACAAATAACCATAGTCAGTTATAATGAATTATCTGAAGCAAACTCACTCCTATCCACTACACATGAAGGGGCACAAAAAGCACAAGACCCTTGGCTTGATTTCTTGTTTCCTCACAAGCACTAGAAATCTTCTCACGAAACTCCATTCTTAGACCTATTTTGACAGCCCCCCCAACCAGAAAAAAAAAGATTTATAAAAATTACACTGAGTGCTAAAAGTGCAGTATACCCTAGCTGCTTTCCCAGGGTTAGTCCCCAGTATTAAATTTTGTTTAAAATTATTTGTTTTATATGCATTGGTGTTTTAGCCTGTGTGTGTGTGAGATCCCCTGGTATGGGAGTTATAGACACTTGTGAGTTGCCATATGGGTGCTAGGAATTGAACCTGGGCCCTTTGGAAGAACAGCCCATGCTCTTAACTGCTGAGCCATCTCTCCAGAAGTTTGTGCTGGACTGTGGTGGCTCACACCTTTAATCCCAGCATTCGGGAGGCAGAGGCAGTCGGATCTCTGTGAGCTGGAGAACAGCCTGGTCTACAGAGCTAATTCCAGGACAACTAGGGTTACACAGAGAAACTCTGTCCTGAAAAACAAACAAACAAACAAAAAACCCAAAAGAAGTTTGCCTTCCAAATTCTTTGGTTTTCTTTGTGAACAAACAAAAGTTAAGTCTTTATCTGCTTCTGCTAGGTATGGTCCATAATTTTCTTTTGGTTTTTATTTATCTATATCTTGTCAAAAACCTAATCTCTTTGAGCACAAGTTCTAATTATAAATCTGTTTTCCTATTTGTTACATAGCCCAGGCTGGCCTCTTTCAGTCTCAGACTCTGGGCTTCTAAATACCCCCTTCTTGCATTCTTATTTTTTTTTTGTTGTTGTTTGTGTTTCTTGTTTGTTTGTTTGTTTGTTTTTCAGACAGGGCCTCACTCTGCAGTCCAGGCTGGTCTACAGTTCATTATTCTAGGCTGATCTTGAATTTGAGGCAGTCCTCCTTCCCCAGCCTCCCAAGGGGCTGAGACTACAGGTTCAATCAACCTCCCCCAGGTTTTCTAGTCTTTAACACTGAAAACCATTCATTGTGTGCATGTGTCTCTGTGTGTTGGCACACCTGAGCCATAGCACTGCATCAAAGATAGAGGACAACTTGTGGGAGCTGGTTCTCTTTTCCCGTTGGGGCCCAGGGATTGAATTCAGGTAATCAGGCTTTGTGGCAAGTATCTTACCCCTGAGCCATCTTGCCACTGAGCCATCTCACTGGCCCTGGCTTTTCTATTCTTGATTTTACATACCTGGGAGGAAGGCACTAGCCAACTGTCTGTTGAGATGAGAGGAGAAATAGCAAAAACTTGGAAGATTTTGGAGTAATGTACTTACTCTTGATTTGTTTAAACCAAATAGAAGGCCTTGACCACTGGGTCAGTAGGGGCTCCTATTACAAACAGCAGAAGTTAATTCAAGTAAATTAAACAAGCAACAACAACAACAAAAGCCTATACTAAGCCAACCATTTCCCTCTCCCGAATCACCCTCAAATTAGCAACGTAGGGAGTTCACATTGAGTCAGTCAATGCAAGGGCTCGCAGCCAAACCTCAGTAATCAGCAGCACCGAAGATCTGGCAGTTTAGTTCCCTCCCTTCTCTGCTGTGATCATAGGCCCTCAACGGGGAGACTGACACTTCCTCCTCCAGACGCAAGAGGGCGCTGCAGGGCCCACGGCAATCTGCACCACACAGAAATAATTTCTTAGGCACCTTCACCACCTTCTTCCTGCCTTGCTCCAGATTTGAAGTCCCATTTACCAGTGGCACCTCCTTGACCAAGCTCATGACTTGTACCTGCACCCTCAGAGCCGGAAAGTGTGTGAGAGCTTCAAGGTTCTGCGGTCGATGCTGCATCTCTTCTTAGAGCAATGAAAATTCTCTAGAAAAGGTGGAATTCTCCAAATGTAGGCAGCTAGCTCAGAAGATGGGCAGGCAGGAAAACCAGATGAGTGATTGCTGTCTTCTCTCATGTCCTGCCCAAGCTGTTGCTTTGATGAGATGTCCTCAGGTCATCCATCCTGAACCCTTACTGCTTGTGTCAAGTGTCACACCAGAAAGCACTGTGCTAATGACACCTATAAACCATGCTTCAGATGAAGACTTTCAAAGAACTAGGTGCTACCTATATTTAAGGAGTCACACAGCAGGAACCAATTGCAGCCCGCAGCCCTGCTTTCAGAGTTCCCAGTTTCCCAGTGGACTCTGTTGACAGGCTGCTGTTTTAGAAGGGACTAGGTCACATTCTGTGCCCCCCCCCCACCTCTCTCTCAGTCCTGGGAATTGAGGCTAAGTAGGGCCTGATGTTTGCTAGGCAAGTACTCTATCCCTGAGCTGTGCCCATAACCCCAGATTCTTAGTATATTCTGGTAGCACCCATTAAATAGAAGATACTCCACTAATGCCCAGGAATTGGCTAGATGGAGTAAAGCAAGAGCAGGTTTTGAAAGCTTCCTTCTTTCACGAGGTCTGAATCCAGGAATCATTTCCGTTAGACCTATTCAGGATCAGCTGTGGAAGAGGAATCTTGAATTCTTTTACTAGGCTCTTCTACCACTTCTACGTGTCACGCAGTAAGATTCTCCCAAGTATTATTTAGCTATCAACTGATATTTTTCAACTCTGACTAAAGACTAAAGGGGTGGGGGGCGACAAGGAGGACACAATTCTTACCCCGGGGAATTTACATTCTAGTGGGGGAGGTGGATGATCATCAAATGTTAATTTGTGGCTCTGGAAAGCGTGGAGAAGGAAATGCCACGAGACGCTATAAAAAGCAGGTCTGACCTACTCAGGAGAGCTAGGACAGCCTCTTTTGAAGATTTAGGGCTGGAGCTAGACTATGAAGAAGGGGAGGAGTTAGGCCTAAGGGAGACTCGGTGAGTCCTTGGAGGCGATGGTCTAGGTGGCGTACTCAGGGATCAATAAAGCATGCTTAGAGGACAGCGACAGAGGGACAAGGGGCCCACACCTAGTTTGCGGACGGCCTCTCTGCCTGTGTTTGAGGGAGTGCGTCATGGCTGGAAAGATATACCAGACTTCAGCCTCCCAAGTCCCACCTGGGAATGACGTCGCTTGGGTGCAAAATTAAAATAGACGGCTCCGCCCCCATTTCCCAGCAGTCCGTGCAGCGCCCCCTCCCACTCCCCCGCCCCCCTCCCCCAGTGACAGGCCAAGCCGGCCCTCTCTAGGTCTCTAGTAGCTTCCGCGGCGCTGACGCAAGCTTGCGCACACAACTCAGCCTGGCGCGTCGTACGCAGCATCCGCGAGCCCGGCTGCGGGTGCCAGGCGGTTCCCCCGCGGGGGGCAGGGGCGGGACTCCCGGCTGTGGAGGTGCGGCCCCGGCTGGGTCAGGTTGGGGGCCCCAGATCAGGCTGCTGGAGTTAGGGGGTTCGGGTAGGGCTCTCTCGGCCTGCGGCGAGATAACGCTGGGCACCGGCCTGCGGGACGGGATAAGGCTGTGAAGGAGCCTAGTCACTGGCTGCAGGCGCGGCTTCCACCTCGCAGGGCCTCCTGCCCGCCGAGGGCTGCGACCGCAAGGAGCCACGGTGCCTCGCCTGGCCTGACCCCCTTCTCTCCGCAGCTCGGAGGAGGAGGGCCGCCTGACGGCTGAGTTGCCATGGCATCCTACTACGAGATTCTAGACGTACCGCGGAGTGCGTCTGCTGATGACATCAAGAAGGCGTAAGTGCCTCGGCTGTGCTGCAGAAAGCCTCGGACCCTTGTTCCCCGCCCCCGCCCCTCCCGGCCCCCAGCGCCAGAGGTCCCTTAGAGGGCCTCCTGGAGAGAGGAAGGGGACCCTTGGGAGTACCAGGACCAAGTTCAGTGAAGGAAGAAGTGATGTCTTCCGGGGCCCTCTACACACTCCCGCCCGATTCCCCTCTCCTCCAGCTCCTAGATGTGGGCTTGCCCAGGTTGCAGTACTATAATGCCCTGGCTCTATGAGGTAGGCCAGTGTCCCTGCGCTCTCTGTGGCTGTAGATAGCTCTATCCGATGAGCCCCGAGAGAGGGCTTAGGGTGGGGTCATCCTTCTGGCACCCTTACTCTCTGCTTATACCACTGGCACAGAGCAGGGAGAGAACCCCCTGAAAACATGGCTGCCGTCATGGAGCATTCTTGGATTGGAGCCTGGAAAGGGTGGGTGGACTAAGCACAGAGGGTGGTCCAGTTGCCTGGTGAGAAGAGCCCTGACCCTCTAGCGTCTCTCACTTCCTGCAGGTACCGAAAGAAGGCTCTGCAGTGGCACCCAGACAAGAACCCAGATAATAAGGAGTTTGCTGAGAAAAAATTTAAGGAGGTGGCAGAGGCCTATGAAGTACTATCGGACAGTAAGGCGTGGGGTCCTGTTTCCCATCATGTCCATTTCACTCTTTCCTAAAGCCAAGCCTCCATCACCAGTTCCCTCCTCCTATATGGCAAGTTCTGTCTGTCTCCTAGGGTCTGGGAAGCAGTATGGGGCCTGACCAGGGAAGGCTTATCACCCCCCCCCCCATTTTATAGGCAGGTAAACTGAGGCTGATGAAAGGTGAAATATTTTGCCCATTTCTTGATCTACAATATGAATCCAGGTCTGACAGATGGATTTTTTTTTCTTTGCTGTGATGCTGATTTTATCTAGATCATTGTACACGCTAGGCAAGAGTTCTTCTGTTAAGCCACAATCCCAGACACAGGTCTGTCATTCCTCCATTCAGAAAATATTCTGATTAGACGTGGTTACAATCCCAGTACTTAGGTAAGGCAGGAAGATCTTGAGTTTAAAGGATATATGTATATATGTATGTATGTATGTATGTGTATTATATATATGTATATACATATATATGTGTGTGTGTATACATACATACATACATCCTGTCTCAGTAAGTGTACAAACCTCAAAATAACAGCAAAAAATGGGTTGAGGATGTAGCTTTGTTCATAGAGTGATTTGGTAACACACACAAGGGCCCTGGGTTTGGTCCCTAGCCCCACATAAACTAGGCATGATGGTCCATGCCTCGAATCCTAGCATTGGGAGAAGCAGGAGGATCAAAAGTCCAAGGTCTTTCTTGGCTGTCTCTCAAATTCAAGACCAGCCTGGGCTATGTGGACAGTGTCTTTAAAAAATATACTGAGCTTGTGGGTGGTGGTTCACACCTGTAATCTCAGTCAGCACTTAGGAGGCCAAGGGAAGATGATAGCCAAGAGTAAGATCCTGTCTCCAAACAACAAAACCAAACCCCCAAAGCGGCCCACAAAATATCCACTGAACTTACTGTGCCAGGTGTTTTGGGGTTCTAGGGAGACAGTGGGGGACAAGCAGGCCCTGTCCTCATCCTGTGGGTCTATCATGTACCAGTCAGACAAGACTGACAATAACCAGGTAGATGCAAAGACAGGTTACACGCTGAGAAGAGTTGAGCAGCTGGACTGGGGGGGGGGTTCTGCAGATTTTGTTGAGGTCTTAGCAGGTCACTGTGGAAGTGGCTTGATTTAGCTAAGCCTATTGATAGTAACATGGAAGTAATTAGCTGACATTTATTAACTTATTTGTGTGGAGCTCAGGGTCTTGTTTCCCGTTAGGCAGGGTCTCTGCCACTGAGTCTACCTTAGCCCCTAGCTTATATTTATTCAGTGTTGGGCACTGTGCTAGGCAGTTTTTATGAGTTATTCATTTGGCTCTCTTGATGGCCTAGAGGTAGGTGCTATTAGTGTGTCTGTTGTAGAGATGAGACAGTTGTTAAGATCATGCTTCCCCACACCCTGCCATCCCCCAAGTTGCATTTTCTGAAGCTTGTCCTAGTCTGGGAAGCAAGATAACTACCCTGAAGAGAGGAATGACCAGGTTTCTTCTTCCAGAACACAAACGGGAAATCTATGACCGCTATGGCCGGGAAGGGCTGACTGGGGCAGGTAGGTGGGGTCGTGGGGTACCAGAATAAAAGTGGGTCAAGGAGGGAGGGGCAGGCAAATTCTTGCAGAGCATGCTCTTTCTAAGGTTTCTGGCCATGTCTTGGGGGGTCCCTTGGCTCAGGGCCATATGTACTCTCTAAGCCCCCTCCTCATCCCAACTCTTCCAGGAACTGTTCCCTCTCAACCAGAAACTGGTGGCATGGCACCTGGCTTCACGTTCACCTTCCGAAGCCCTGAGGAAGTCTTCCGGGAGTTCTTTGGGAGTGGAGACCCTTTTTCAGAGCTCTTTGGTATGTAGACAGGATAGTTCAACTCTGTCCTCTGGCTTGCTGTCTATCCTCTTGGGGATCTCTCAGGCTAGAGGCTGAGAGGGAATTGGAATTTCACAGACAGACAATTTGATTCTGTGTAGGCGTGAGTCCAGCAAAAGCTAGGACAGAACCTCACACGCCAGGACTCACGTGACACACCAGTGACACTTCACAGACTGGCCTTATTAAATGACAACAAGAACACATTGTTAAACCTCCACAACAGCCACTGGGAGAACAAGACTCCAAGCATCATGTGACTGCAGGAGCTGCATTACTCATAATAACAGACACCGTTTTTTAAAAAATGAATAATATATGTCAAGAACCCTGCATCCCCCAAACCTCTTGTAAATCCTGAGAGGGGAGTAATTTTAATTGATATTTGTACATAAGAAGACACAAGCATATTAGCTTGGAGCCACACAGTAAATGGCGTGCCTGGGTGACTAGGAAGGAGCTCAGTGGTAGATGCCTGTCTAGCACGTGCAAGGCACTGGTCTCATTCCTCAGCACCACAAAACACAACACAACGCAACAAAAAAGTAAATCTGGTAATTAGGAGACTCTGTACACAAGCATGGTTACACATGCCAGTAAAAAAAACTCAGCACTTGAGAGCCAGATATGGTTGAGAACACATTTAATTCCTGAACTTGGGGGGGGGGGGGCAGAGGCTCTTTGTGAGTTCAAGGCTAGCCTAGTCTACATAGCAGTTTCCAGGCCAGCCAGAGCTACACATTGAGACTCTGTCTCAAAAACCAAAACCCAAAAAACAACAACAAAAAAACCTTTTCCACTTGGGAGGTTCAGGGGTTCAGTAATCCTTATCTCTATCTATCTATCTATCTATCTATCTATCTATCTATCTATCTATCTATCTTTATCTCTATCTATCTATCTATCTATCTATCTATCTCTATCTGTCTATCTATTTAGTTGGAGGCCAGCCTAAGTGACTGAGACCCCTTTTCAAAAAAAGTTTTAAAAATTTGTAAATTTGTACAACACAAACCAGGAAAAATTAGAAGGGTTGGCAGTTATTCATCCGCTTGATTTCTAGACTTAAAAGCCTCAGGCACACACACGTCTTTGGAGGTGATCCCCTCACCAGCTTCTAATCTCCTTCTTGCAGATGACTTGGGCCCCTTCTCGGAGCTTCAGAACCCGGGTTCCAGACACTCTGGCCCATTTTTCGCCTTTTCTTCCTCGTTTCCTGGCCAGTCTGGTAAGCACTGTCCCTTTCCATTCTTGCATTATCTTGAGTCCTGGAGTTTTGCTAGCTGGGGCAGGTCTGAGTGAGGCCCCCAAGCCTTCCTCTCATAGCCTCCTCTCTGCATCCTTTGTCCCAATGCCAGATTTCTCCTCGTCATCTTTCTCCTTCAGCCCTGGGGCTGGTGCTTTTCGTTCTGTCTCTACATCTACTACCTTTGTCCAAGGACGCCGCATCACCACACGCAGGTGAGCGCTCCTTCTGGGGCCCTACAGGTGGATAATCTGGAGATGAGGTGTACAAGCAAGTACTGTGTGAGCATGGAGTCTGCCCTGACCACTGTAACTGTCAGAGCCCGGACCAGTCTCTGTTCATTGACTGGCCTGTGCCATCTTCCACAGAATCATGGAGAATGGGCAGGAACGGGTAGAAGTGGAAGAGGACGGACAGCTGAAGTCAGTCTCAATCAATGGTGAGTGGGTGGGGCTTCTGGCAGGAAGCCTTAGACCCTTGTGGCTCCCTCTGAGTGGGGCTAGTGGGAAAAGAGTCTCAGATGGCTAGCTAGTTTTAGCATCATCATTTGTGGGACGCCTTACATTTGCAAGGCTCTTCTCTGTGTGAGCAATACTGGCTGGGCATTGAACCCAGAGCCTTAGGCATACTGGGTAAACTCTACCACTGAGCTAGAGCCTCAGCCTTTAAATAACATGCCCATATACACTGTGAGGGTTTTCCTTCCCTTTCTCTGTCTCTGTCTCTCCTTCTGCCCTGTGTGTGTGTGTGTGTGTGAGTGTGAGAGAGAGAGAGAGAGAGAGAGAGAGAGATACACTCTGTGCCCAGGAGTGCACCTGTGGAGGCCAAAGGTCAGTGTCATCTTCCTCTTTTTGGTTTTTGGTTGTTTTGTTTTGTTTTTTTGAGACAGGATTTTTCTGTGTAACAGCCTTTGCTGTCCTGGAACTCACAAAGGTCCTTCTGCCTCTGCCATCTGAATGCTGGGATTAAAGATGTGCTATGCCACTACTGCCCTGCCTCTATTGTTTTTTAAAATTACATATATATATATATATACATATATATATACACACATACATATATATACATATATATACACATATATATGTATGTATGTATGTATGTATTTACAATTATATATATACTTATTTTAAGACATAAATATATATATGTATATATTTAAGGTTTAGTTTTGATTTTGTGTAGTTGTGTGTGCACATGTGTTCATGTCTGTGCAGGTGCTCACAGGTTCAAGGCATCTCCAAGTCCCCTTGGAGATGGAGTTACAGGAAGTTGTGAGCCTCTTGATATGGATGCTGGGAGTTGAACTGTGGTCCTGTGGGGGAGCGGTACCTGTTCTTAACTGCTGAGCCATCTCTCCAGTCCCAAGTTTTTATTTACTTTTTGAGAATTTCATACCTGCCATGCCCTCCTCCTCACTTCATGTCCTCATTTTTGCCCCCCTCATTTTTGAGGCAGAGTCTCTCCCTGAACTTGGAGCTCACTGATTTCTCTTAACTGGCTGGCCAGCAAGCCCCAGGGATCCTCCTGCCTCTGCTGGTCCAGCCCTGGGATTACAGGTGTGCACTGCCACACCCAGCTGTTTCCTAGGATGCTGGGGATCTGAACTCAGGTCCTCATGCTTGCACAGCAGGCACTTTACCCACTGAGCCACCCCCCAGTCCTGTGATTTTAGCATAAGGCAGGAGTAAAGCAGTGCAGATCATATTTATGAGGTTTTCATTTGAGGGGTCTGAGCTGAAGCATGTAGCCTCTAACTCCAAACTACTGTCTACTGTAAAAAAGGGATACATTTAAGCCAAGAATCAAAATCAGGTATGTGCGTGTGTGTGTGTGTGTGTGTGTGTGTGTGTGTGTGTGTGTGTGTGTGTTGTGTGTGTGTGTGGTGTATACAGGCACTGAAGTATGAAGGCAGAGCCATGTGTGTGTGTGTGTGTGTGTGTGTGTGTGTGTGGTGTATACAGGCACTGAAGTATGAAGGCATATATGTATGTATGTATGTATGTATGCATGTATGTGTGTATGTAGGCTACAGTGCCAGTCCAGGATCAAGCTCAGGTTTCCTAAAGTGGAGCTCTTCTCCAAGGACTGTGGTTGTGTCTAGCTACTTACCTGCCAACACTGAGCACTATGACAAGTACTTTACATGGGTTATCACATTTAATCATTGGAACAGTTTGCACGTGTAGACGATCTCCTCACTCCCATGTCATAGACAAGAGGTGCAGGGAGGCTGAATACTGTGTGTGAGGTGACACAGCCACAACCTGGAATGCCTAATGCACATGTGTCAGTTCCAGAGAAAGGCTGTGAGCCGGCAGGGTCATTGCTGTGTGAGGTGGGTTGGCATGATGTTCTAGCTGGGGTTTGGTTCTAGCTGGTGGCTGTGACTCTTGCAGGTGTCCCAGATGACCTGGCACTAGGCTTGGAGCTGAGCCGTCGTGAGCAGCAACCTTCAGTCACCTCCAGATTGGGGAGCACACAGGTCCAGCCGACCCCTGTCTCCCGCCCCCCTGACGGCACCCTTTCTGAGGACGAGGACCTGCAGCTTGCCATGGCCTACAGCCTGTCAGAGATGGAAGCAGCTGGGCAGAAGCCAGCAGGTGGGCGGGGGGCACAGCAACGATGGCAGGGGCGGTCCAAGGCCCAGCACCAAGACCTTGATATGGGAGGCACTCATAAGGGGGTGAGGGGCCAACCAACCAAACCCAGCCCATCCTCAGAGGAGAAGGCCTCTCGTTGCCTCATTCTCTGAAAACCAGGCCAAGCCTGACCTGATTCAGGTCCTGACTCAGAGTCCAGCTCACTGTGGGGACTGCAGAACGGAGTGTGGCCTGAGTTGCAGGGTCCCAAATTCTCTCCCTCCACAAATTTCCCTCCCAGGCCTACCATCCTGTAGTGCGGACCGGGGATTTATTGTGCTCTGTCCAGGGCTGATAAGTCCCTGTGTAACGCCCAGGACTGCGGGTGTCAGGGCCATGGGAGGGCCTGTGGAGCCCAGAGGCACTGGTTGGATCAGGCATTGCTGAGGGACATCAGTGGTTTTGGGTGGGACTTTTGTGCCTGTCTGCTTCCACCGTCTATGTTACTGATGTCAATGAAGGGGACTTGGCCCGCTGTGCTCTGAGCTCCCCTGGGGAGCCGTGCAGGCTGAGGGGAGGTCCTCGTGGTTTCCGTGCAGAAATGAGTTCTCACCCCTGCCGTGTCTTTCCCCTCTGGTGCTGCTCTCCTGCTGCTCTGCTCTCTGCGATCCTGTGACTGCATCGCTTGCTTTTGCTGCTGCTTGGCTAGGACTCCCTCCTCCTCCTCTTTGAAGCCTCAGTGTGCACAGGAAGATGCTGGGGCCAGTGGGGCCATGAAATCTTCTAGGGAGGCTAGCTGGGTGGGGTGGAAGCCTCTCAGCCCTCCAGAGTCTCAACCAGAGTCAACTCCTCTTCCCTCCTCCTTGCTGCCTCAGCCTGCCCTGGCCACAGGACTAGGCAGAGGTGAGGCTGGCTGTCCTTGGAGAGGCGGGATAGGGCCAGGGTGACCCGGTGGGAGGCCTAGGTGGGGACTAGATCTGTACTCCCTGTCCGTCACTCACGCATCAGAGCTCAGGGCTTGGCCTAGGTGTGCATGCTCGGCTCCACCCTCCATCTGCTTGCAGCTGACCCACTCTCCTGTCACCCACCCCTGCTCTCTCCCCAGATGTGTTCTGAGCTGGATATCCTGGATACAGAGTTGCTGCAGTTCCAACAGGACAGCGCCCTCCCCAATGTGCTAGGAGGGAACACTACATCCCTCTCCCTCACTTATGCTGAGTGTAGGGCTGGGCCCTGGGTGGTGTGGGTGGGGACTGAGTGGGAGGCACCCATAGTCTTAGCCTCTGAACTCTTTCCCCTGGGTGCTTAGCACTGTCTCTTGTGGATTACAAGTCCCAGAGTGCAATGCACCCTGGCCTCATTTCTGATAGCTCTTATCCCAGGGGAATTGGTGCTTGGTTATAAAGCTGGGCTTCTTGGGATATGTAGTTCCAAACCTGACCAGCCTGTCACTCTCTCCGAATGGGGAGATCTTGTCTTTCATCTTGTCCCTGGAAGGGGTGGTGACAATTGTGGATGAAGGAGAAAAGACCAGAAACTTAGTTCCTCTGATATTTCTTGCTAGACACAGGTTGGAGTGAGCACACCCGAGTCCTGTAGCATCTGAGAGGTGGTTTCCCTTGGGTAGCTGGAGGTCCAAGGACTAAGCTAGTGGGGCAGTGGATGGAGTAGGTATAGCATGGTCCTGGAAGGCTGATGGCTGTGGGCTGGCAGAGTGTGGAAAAGGCTGCCTTGGCTGGAGTGTGTATGGCGAAGATTGGCATGCAGAGGGAGTGTTGGACATATTGCTTGAATGGCTTTCTTTGACCTCTGACCTTGCTACCCATTCTTTCTATCATCATTCATCTTCCATGAGCCACCTGTCTGCCTCCTGCCTGGGGAGTCCAAGGCCAGTGAGGGGATTGGTGGGACAGGCTGCGGCCAGCTTCTGTTAATGCTAAGCCCCTAAGACCCACCAAAGCCAGATGAACTGAGCTCAGACTCAGGGAAAGTGGAAGCCAATAAAGTGGAGTTTTGCAAGCTTAGTGCCGTGTGCCTCCTTTCCAAGACAGCCAAAGAGGGACCCTCTGGAACAACAAGATGACACTCCAGACTCCAGGCCTTACACCTTCCTTTATGCCAAATAGCTGGAGGCACAAGCCTCAGTCGGGTTGTCCTCCCCAACTGTGTTATGTGATACCAAGAAATGCTTCCTCACTTCCAGGGCCCCACAACCAGCTTCGCCTGGTTTCCTCTTGTAAGGGGACCTAGTTCCCAGTTCTCTGCAGTACAGCTAGGCTCAGACAAAGTTAAGCCTTGGTAGAAAGCATGAGGACTCACAAAGAACAGATGATGACACCTGGTGTGTGTGTGTGTGTGTGTGTGTGTAAGAGTTTCTCTGTATAGCTCCAAAACACAGGGATGGATCTACCTGCCTTTGCCTCCCGAGTGCTGGGATTAAAGGTGTGCACCACCACTGGTGACACCTGATGATTTTAAACAGTACCCAAGCGCTCTAAACTAACCCTCTCCAGGGGGTGTGAGCCGGGAGCATGTGGAACACCACTCTACCCAGGGACCAACCCCAGGGAGGAAGGAACCAGGAGCCCCTCCCCGCTTACTGTCTCCAGGCACAGGTCCAGCACCTTTGCCATTCCACAAGAGGATGTGGCCCTGGCTCCCTCACCCCAGAAGTCACCATCGGCTTCACCTTTGGGGGGGGGGGGTCAAAGGGCCTAGCTGACTTCCTCATGCTAAAACAGCAGCCTACCCTGAAGGTGAGATTCTGAGCCCCCATCCTGAGCATCTGCTGGAACTTGCAGAATGAGGCTTTGCCCACTTGGAGCCTTTGCCATGTAGGACACTGGAGCTGAGCCTCAGCAGAGGACAGACAATGGGACGGGGCTTTCTGGCCGCCAGCATTCAGAATTCACCGTGTTTTCATTTGCACTCCAGCAGGAGCAAGTAACTCCAGGCCCCAGGCTCAGCTCCGCTCATTTTGTGTGTGTGTCTGAACTCACTGAGTTACTTATGACACAGATGAGGGCCCCTGGGGTGGGGAGAGCACAAGTCACCCTAAGGGAATGGGCTGAGAGAGGGATAAGATGAAAGGGGAACAGTGTCCCCACCAGGGAGACCGCACTGGCAGAGTATCACCTGAAATGTGGCAGTCAGTGGGTTGATGGCCCCCACAGCTCTAAGTGTGGTCCTGTGTGACAAAAACATGTCATTGCTGAGGCTGAAGAGCATGGAGCATCACTCTTAAGAACTGGGAGGAAAGAATATATGAAGGCCACCACCTGGGTTTGGGTCCTGACTCCACCACTTCAGTTTCGTAGCCTGGGCTAGGTCCATGCTGCACTCTTTGTATATGAGGCATAAGACCAATACATGCATGCTGCCTGGGAACCCGTTAGCCACCGAGAAGCCATGTCCTCAGGCACTTCTCAAACCAAGGATAGCCGTGCGCCTCCGCAGCCAGTGTCACCTGTGGCTTTCTGCTTTCAGTGTCTCCAAGGAAACAGGGCAGGGCCGCCGAGACGCAAGCTACAGCCGCAGCCTGGAAGCTTAATAGACAGAACTGCAAAAGTGGCCATGTTGCAGCTGCACAGACAACACACTAACTTTATTCACATCGATACAAAAGTAGATTTTTCTAGAAATGTCCTTTTGTGCTAGAGGGAGAAGACTGAGCTGGGTCAAGGTGGCAGGTGGGTGGTAGCTGGGCTTGGGGAGTTGGGGCCCTCTCATCCTGCTCTGTCTATACACTGCAGGCTGCTGGGGGTGAGGGGGGATGCACACTGGCTGGGGACGTCCAGAACCATGGGGAGAGGGAGACAGAGACTCAGGTAGGGTGGGGCTCGGGCACACTTGCTTCTGCTGTCCACTCCTCCCCCGCCTGCTGTCTGTTTCCCCTGGGCTGCTTAGGTTCTAGCATGAAAGAAGCTGGGTGGATCTGTCCCCATACTCTCCCCCACTTACTTCCACACTGGGTTGGGAAGAGCTGCTGTGCCCAAGATGGGCCAAGATGGCAGGTAGTTAGGGGCTGAAGAGTGGGTGCACAGATGCTCATACAGGCAGAAGGAGCAGAGGCCAGGATGCCCACTGAGGTGCCCAGGGGCTCACTGGGGCAGGGCCTTGAGGATGGCATTCACCTCCTCTGCCACGGCTGTCAGCGCAAACTCAAACTGGTCCTGTGCAAGGCCAAGTGCAGAAGGAAGGGTCAATGGAAACCTAGGCTCTGCCTCTGCCTGAGGGGACATGGCAGGTGTGGAGGGTGCTGGGCATTTGGAAGGAGAGGAGGCCTCCTGGGGTGTGCAGGAAGGGCAGACTGCTATTGGTTTCTTCTTGGTGGCCATGAAGAGAATACTTGGGAAGGGAAGTGACTAGGGATAGGCTGGGAGGTACTGTCACCTTAGAGCGGACAAGGCCGGGCCGCTGGTCACGGACATGCTCCAGGGTGGCAGCAATGTCAATCTCCTTCACTCCTGGGGATAGGGTGCAGTAGGGGATGCTTCAGGGAGTATCCGGGGGGGGGGGGGGGGGACAAGTGCCAGAAAGCCGGGCATCTTCGGCAAAGCTTGGAGATGTGAGCACACGCTCCCCAGTGGGTTCTCAGACCCACTGGGTCCTGGGGGGCCATGAGAGACCAGGGGCTGTGGGTCCTGTGGGAACAGACCTTACCTTTCGCCATGCGATTCAGTACCATGTCAATAAGGATGTAGGTGCCTGTCCTCCCTGCACCATCACTGAAATAGGAGTTGGTGACAGACAGGCTTAGCCCTGACAAGGCAGGAAGGGAGCAGACATGGGGGTTGGGGTGAGGACATTGGCTGATTCTTGGAATTGGCCTGGGAAGAGCATCAGGAAGCCATGGGTGAGAAAACAGGTCTTGAGTGGCAGGTCTGTGAGTCCTGGCTTGTGGACAACTGGAAAGTACAGCCACAGCTCAGTTTTCAGTGGAGGCAGCAGGATAGAATGGGAATGGCCCTCCCCAGCCCAGGCCAGGCTTTTGCTCAGCCAGCTCTCCATAGAAAGGGCCAAAGAGTAAACATTTCCAATGCTATGGACTGACGTGTGTGTGTGTGTGTGTGTGTGTGTGCGCGTGTGTGTAACTTATTACAGTCAGGATGTGCCCATGGTTTGTGCACTGGGAAAAAGGAGCAGAGGGAAGGGGAGAACCGGGACGGCTCCAGCCCAGGGCCTCTGTGTGGCCGGTCCCCACCCACCTGCAGTGCACTATGATGGGGCAGGATCGGCCTCTGTAGCACTTGTTCACCTTCCTGCAACAAGAAGTAGGTGTGAAGGCCAGCAGCCACCAGCCAGAAAGAAGAAAATGTCGCTAATCACGCATCACTGTGTGCTCACATTCTGGCTTTCCCCTCTCCTGCCTTGTGGCAAGCACAGAGCAGGAAGTGAGTTGGAAAGAGGAGTCAGGGATGGTGAGGATGCACTAGGTTTGCTCTGTCACTTGGAAGCCATGTGCCCAAGTTGTGAGCCTGGAATAACGGATTTAACGTTTCAGTTTTCATACTACAAAATGGGAGATGATAGATAATAATGGGAACCATTTTTTTTTTCCCAAAGGATCTTACAAAATGCCACGAAATAACCTACATAAAGAACTTGCACACCACAGGCTCACTCCATCAGTGGTAGGCAGTAAGAATGTAGTAATAACAGGTGCTCAAATCCAAGGCTTTCTGGGAATTTTCAGGTCAGCTCTGCTATTCCACGGCCACAAAAGCCAATCCCTCTCCACTCAGGTTCGAAGTCCATGCCATCCCTGATGACAGTTATTTTGTTCTAGCTGTCACATGCCAGCTGAATTTATATACTTCTGGTGTAAGCCCCAGGGATTGTTTAGCTTACCTGTGTGGCCTTAAAAAGATCTATGCAGTGACCCTTCAGTGGCTCCGTTGGGGATTTTGCTAGTTTGTTGTTGTTTTGTTTTGTAGAACTGGTATCAGACCAAGGCCTTACAAATGGTCTATCACGAACCCAATCAAAACTTTTATTTTAAAATATTATTATTATTCCGTGATAATGAATGAACCCAGTTTTTTTTTTTTTTTTTTTTTTTTTTGTGGGTGTGTCCTTGGAAAGTTCTCAACCACTGAGTTACATCCCTAGTCCTTTTTAATTTTTCTATTTATGAGACAAGGTCTCCCTAAACTGGCTGGACTGGCCTTGAACTTGCAGACCTCCTATCTCATCCTCCTGCACAGCTGGGGTACGGGTGTGCCATCTCACCTGACCAGGAGTTTTTAAATGTCAGGGGGAAAAGGGAAGTAATTTAATACTATCATTTCACTTTCAAGGAGTGCTTCAGGCTTCAGGGACTCAGCCAGAAACCACTGTTATACTGGAGTTCAGAAACTACCAAGGGCCTTACCTCAACTGTGCCCCTCTGCCTGGCACTGGAGACCCAGGCCAGCTTGGCACAAGACAGAACAGGTTTCAGTTCAGTGGATCCTTTGTCCCTGGAGAGAGGCTTCCCTGCCACCTAAGTGTGGGGAATGCTGGATGCCTGGCCTGGTCTTGGTATTAAAATGGGTTAAATCCTTCTGTTAGGGGCTGCTCAAGCCTTCCCTGTCCCACAAACATTTTGCAAGATAATCTTGGTCTCTTTCTAAATTCCTGCCCCAGTTTTCCAAAGAGTCCCTTCTCAGACCTGCCTGCCTGTTTCTAATGTCTCTGTCACACCTGCTAATAACCATGGTTGTGAATATTCAATGGAAGTGAGAATATCAGCAGATGGCTCTCTCTCTCTCTCTCTCTCTCTCACACACACACACACACACACACACACACACACACACACACACACACACACCTGGCAGCTGTGAGGCAGGGAGGGAGAGACAAGACAGGAGGAGGGAAGAGTAACAGGAAAGGGAGAAAGGAAAAGAGAAAAAACAGGCCGAGAGATAGATGGATGGATGGATGGATAGACAGACAGGCAGACAGACAGAGATGGGAAGAGGATGGAGGAGAGGAAAGAGCAAGTGAGCACAGATCTGGGCAAGATAGGAGCC